AGGTGTACCATTTAAAACATTGGCATGTCAAAAACAATTTTGCATCTAGATAAACGTACATTTGATGCAATGCCATATGAATTTTGTATGTGTAGAGGAGGGAAATGGAAGAAAAGGACTTTTCAATGTGATTTATAACCATTCACTGGTTTTTGTATACCGTAAATTGTAAGTAAATATTGATCGTATAATCTACTTTGGTGTAACTATTGAAAGAAGCCTGTGACATTAAGTGGTTAATTGTGTTTCATGATAATTATCACTTGAATTATCAATTTTCCCTATTTATTGATGTACTGCAGCAGCAGTATTTGATTTTGTCGAAGAATTAATTATCAACTTAGCAAGATTTGTTAATCTACATTTTAAAGTTGTTTGGGTAATATTTGTTTTAAAATACAGAATATATATATATATTATGTTTTTTTATGCATCATATTTTCATATGAAAAAAGATTTTTGTATTTAATTGTCTGTAACTTTTGTATTAAAACTGCTCTTAGTTGTCTAAAGAGGAAAGAAAATACTCTGAAACAGGTTTTTGTCAAATTTACCAATTATTTTGTCGCTGCTACCATTGGTTCCTTCCAAACGTGTTTCTTCCGGTCGAATTACAGGCACTACAGTCAAGAGATGACTTTGAATATTTGTATGTATAAGACTATTTATTGTATAGTATGCAAAGGCATTACTAGTAGTATGTGTCAAACATGTCATGTCATGTTTATGTGCATAGGCATTATTATAATGATCACTATGAACATGCCGGACAAAATGAATTCATATGATCTTTCCAAATTCTTAAATTCCGGCAAAATGTCTTAGAATTACATAGTATACTAAAGATCAGTTGTGCTATGTGATTACAGAAGTCTCTAGTGCCATTTGACAGAGATGTAATAAAGTAATAGCAATCATAAATGAACAATCAACTTTATGATGTCTTGTGTTTGTGTTAGAAAGCTTGATCACTCATTTTGAAAATTGTCTGCAATGATCTTCAATTTTGACGAGCTCATAAAAAGATGAAGGCTATTCCTTGTCACAGATAGGGTCAGATGATTATAAACGGCTGTTAAGAACTGAGTAAGAATTAACGTTGATAATAATATGAGACGTTCCAATAACAGGTATATACATGTATGTGAGTTTTGTAACGTATGTGTTTAGGTGGTGTATGTTAGCATCTTCATGGATGGACGGTTGTACCTTCGGTTAAAAATCTTGTTATCAAATCATTATTGTTTATTTCTGATCAGCCCTTAAGTCACAATCTAGATCAACTGAGTAACCATGGTAACAAGCACAAGTGTGGGACTTCTAAGCGAGAAATATAGAACGAAAGAGAGAGAGAGAGAGAGAGAGAGAGAGAGAAAGAGCTTGAGAAAAAGAGAGTTAGAGATTGGGAGAGAGAAAGAAGTAAGAAAAAAGGAGAGATAGAGAACGAAAGAGAGAGAGAGAGAGTTAGAGATTGGGAGAGAGAAAGAGCCTAAGAAAAAAAAGAGAGATAGAGAACGAAAGAGAGAGAGAGAGAGAGATGGTATGGACGGGGAGATAGAGGATGGACAATTTCTAGAAAGGGTGTACTGCAATAGTGGTATGTTAAAGATATGTAAGAAAATTAATAAAAAGTGAGAGGTATACATAAAAACATATTGAATGTATTTTGTGACACACGAAATAACGATTCTGCCAAGAGCTGCTTGTGAAGTGATGGGTACTTTTATTTAGAAAGAAAACTGACACATGAGAGAGATAAACAACGTGGATTGGAGAAACAGTCCAAATCATAAACAAGAGTTCTTTGAAAATAATATCGCTAGTGACATTCGTTTGTCTCGCAATGTATGGTCACCAAGGGATCTAAAAGATCACGACGTTTCGTGCGCCATGTTGACCATACATTACGAGACAAATGAATGTCACTAGCGATATTATTTTCCATACTACATCCGCAATAAGTAATATATTTAGCAAGAGTTCTTTGTTTTGATAAAAGAATCACATCTGAACCAATCGCATGAAAAAAAACTGTTACATGTATATGTGATAATCTTTCATTAGAAAGCTAGCGTACGAAAGAAGAACATTCCCGAACATGAACAAATGAAAGCAAGCAATGAACTATATTTCCTTGTGTTATAACAATTGGGCTAATTCAAGCAATGTTAATATATTTTTATTAGAAAGGAAAATCATTCGTTTAGGCACTAATTCTTTATACCACCATCACTCCGATTCTTTATTTGCCAAATTATACTCTACCAGCTGATGATATAAGATATTCTACAAATACAGTTTTCATATTCTGCTTACAAAGTTGTACTGTCTTTCTACATGTACTCCATTAGATGTTTAAGGTAGTGTATCCCATTTGCAGCCAACATCGAATTTTGTACAACTTTGCAGGAGTTATGTCACGAATGTCCGATTTTCTACGCAAATTTTTCGAAACGCGGTGCGAAAATTCCTAACGGTCGATATAATTTCATATTAAAGGCAATTACTAGTCCATTCATTTCACGGGGTTTTTAGTTGGTATTATCTCTTGTTTAACATAGGATTCACACAAGTTTATACTTTCAGCCTGCAAAAGGGACACACCACCTTAAAATCTGAATAAAAATATTATTACTTTCCTATAAGACAAACTAAAATAAAACTTTACCCTGAACCAGTGATGTAAATAAAAGTACTTCAGTTCTACATCTTGTATATACATGTATGAGAAATATTAGCATATTAGATCAAACAATAATATATACATATTATAATATAATGAAAGGAAATGCTGAGTTATTATTATCAAGAATAATAATGATAATAATGATTGTAATGATAACGATAATAATCTTAATGATAATAATAATAGCAATAATAATAGTCAAATTTATATAACGTTTATTACAGCACGTACATGCTTTTCTGTATGTATTTTATCTTTTTTATGGATTTGTAAATTTAATTGTATACATTTTATATATTATCAGATCAAACAATTGAAATCAAATACTAATATACACAAATCCCACCATAACTAGGCTATGCTATAACTATCAAACGGGTATTAATATATTTCATGTAGCAGTATGTACATTACAATAAAAGCTGTCTTTATTTTACAGACAACATTTTACACTATAACAGATAATAGTTTGGGCTGAACATATGACACACCATAACAAAACCTTTATTTGAAACGGGTGGTTATGTCAGACCGTCTCCTTGAATGGATCTTTGTAATAAATCTGCCTTATTTTAACCAGGCAAGCAACTAATCAAATAATTACCGAGTAGTCAGGTAAAACTAACATACAAACAATAAAACAAAGAATATAAATAATACATTCTAGTCTACTTGAATTTACTCCAACATATAAAACTACAATGCAATTTTATACATTGAATATAACACTCAAATATCTTTGATACAATGATATTACGTATTATCTACACTGTGTATACGTATAAAATATTGAAGAACATATGAACTCATGTTGGGGAAAGCGTTATGAGACATCTTTCCCAAATGTAAGCAATTTCACTCGATTAGAGAAACGCTCTAAAAAAACACAAATACCTTATAGTTCAAAATGATATTTTACAATATAGAGATATATATATTTTATGCATGAAGAAATGAAAGTAACGCCGTGTCCTGGGTATCAAAAATCTTGAAACAAACAAACAGTTTAGATTGAATTCACACTTTACCACAAGGGATCTATTTTTCTTATTTTTCTGATAACTCTTAACAGTATATCGGACCAAATCAACCAAGAATAAAAATAGAACGTAATCATTCCTCCGAGCGATCTTACTCCAACATATACATTATTTATATATCTACATTGAAAATCATATGTACAATGATAACACATGATGAGCATTTAACTACCTATTTATTTTATTTATTTATTTATTTATTTCGGTTTAAAAAGACATATAAATATACATGATTCAAAGGTCCAAGGACCAAAACTGTTCATGTTTACAAATTATACCTCATGTATTATTGATTTTAGAGACAGCGTTTTACTCTACAACATATAATAGTTTGGAATGCTCTCAACATCGGGAATGCAAAGCTCCGAAATTTTAAAAGATGATAACATGACATAAAAGACATTGAATGAATGACATTGAATAGAAAACTAAACACCAGTTGTCAAGGTATGTACAAGAAAACGTAACTAAAACCAGAAATAAACCATGATGCATGCTATCTATCCTTCATGAAAATAATCATGATGAAAACTATTGTACACTTTTTTGAATGTGTAGATTACTATATTCAAATTATATTACATGTAATGACAATAACAAAGTTCAAATCACTGACCCAGACTTGTGGTCTATTCACAAATGCTTTCATCAAACATGTGAGTTTGTGTGTATATAATCATTAAATAAGTGTTTACGCTGATTATAGGTGAGATCACACTGCCAAGCAGGCGCGTACGCAGGATTTTTCGAAGGGGGGGGGGGTAAAATTTGATAATCAACGACTCAGCCAGCCGTTGAATAAGCAATAAGCAGGGAGGGGGGTTAGAGCACTTTTTTTGTTTTGTGTGTCCCACAATTAGAAACTTTGGCCAATCGATATTTCGTTTCGTTCGGGGGGGGGGGGGGGGGGGGGGGTAAGGTAAAAACAATTTGAGGGGAGGGGGGTTTCCTCCATAACACACACATAAAACAAAGTTTGAGGGGGTCACCCCCCCCCCCCCCCCCCCCCTGCGTACGCACCTGCTGTCTAGCGAATATTCCAAGAAATTTGACTCCTGGAATTTCTGCCAGTCTAACCACAAACTACCTAAATCATACCACCCAAAATTCCTCCTGAATATTCATATAAATTTGTGAGAAATCAGATTCCTGCCATAATCATTCCGGGCCCTGTAACATAACTAATTATCGTCTCCTAAAAAAGGATTGTATCTCCTCCAATCAAACGTATTTTGGCTAAACAATGAATCTTAAATAACAGTATTTATGTTACTGATAAATGCAATCCATGGTGAGATAAAATCGACTACAGCAAGACACAATACATTTTTACATTTGATTTTCAGTATATTTTTCATGCTAAATTCAGGGCCTTTTGCCAGTCTGACCTCAAATTTTGGGAAGAAGTTTTTCATGTTAATTAATAAAAGAGTGAATCCGGGACGCGCGCGGTTCGTTGATACTAAACGGGTAGATTTAACCTGTAATGTAAACCTATAATGGATAGTCCGCGAATATCCCTACTTTTTCTGAGATATTTTAAAATATGACCTTCCACATTTTGTATATCTATTTGAATGATTATCTGCACTGTTCTCCATATCGGGATTGTCCTCTACGTATTGAGCCAGGATTTAGGGACTAAAACTCTGCCAAGATATGTTGTTGTCCACGGTACCCTCGGAATAGAATAATTATGTTCGCAATGTAATCAAATAAATGACTCGATAAAACTATTTCATTCACCCGTTACGAATAATTGAAAAGTTTGAATGAGGCGGATATAGAACGGGAACATGAAGAAAGAATTATTGCTGACTGAATAATTTTACGAATCAACGTTCCCTTCAAACATTTTTCTTCAATTCATTGGGAGTTTTATGAGGTTAGGTAAATGATGAAATACATGTAGTATTCTTCCACCAAAGTAGTGATCAAAAATCAAATGTAAAGACTGTTTATGATTAGTTTAGAGGCTGAATAGCTTTCTGAATACGAGAATATTGTCTCTATCGCAAGCAATCATCTTCCCGGATGACGTCATCATCACTCGAGAATAAATAAGGTGATTCCTCAAGTCAAATCCCTTCTCCGCCCTTGTTGACAGAGGGAATGATGCTACTCTTCTCTTCTTCATAGCACCCTCACTCATCACCTGATCAATCACACATGTTTTGAATCCCTCGTCTGATGTCATGACGTAGAGGTCCTCAGTATTAGGATCAACGCAGACATTCAGGGTGACATCATTGTGGGGGATTTCCCTTTGAGCACCCTCTCTGTCAATGATGAGCGCTCTGCGATCTGGTGGTGAGGGTCGAGCGATGAAGTGACCTGATGAAAGCATATCACACATCCTTATCTTCTCTTTACACGTGATGGTACTCTTACCATCAGCTGGGTCGATGACGTATATCTTAGACTGACTCACCTCAGCAGCGATGATCATCCCATCCTTGTCAGCTGCAACATTCACCTGTGTGACATTACCCGTCGTGTTTCTTGGTATTGTGACGTCAGTAATGAGCTTCCACTGTCTGCCATACACACTGATGCATCCATTCAAACTGTCTCCTGTACTACCTCTGTACGCTCTACCGCATACTACCTTGTCATCATTCAGTACTGCACAGGACATAACCCATGATGTATCACCACCGTTTATCACCCTCTGAATATGTTTAGTGTTCAAATTCAACATGTATGTATGCAAACTACCTGCTAGTCTATCTGTAATGATAATATTGCATCCATCCATGCATCCTACAATGATCGGGTATGTGATTTCATTTGTCACATTGATTGTATCAATGAGCTTCCACTCGCCATCATACCCATCAATCCTCCCATCATACTTCATCTCCCTCCCAGCACCCTTCACAAACCTCACACCTGATACAACACGATTCATTTCTTTCACCTCATCCTCATTCAGTGGCTTTTTTAGTGTATCACTAACTGATGTATTCACACGATGCCCGTCTTTGACAATGTTTTGATCGTCTTCGAGTACCGAGTCAAGTGTCTGGCTTGCATTCTCTGTGCTTTTCGTGTCATCTTGCCATGATTTCTCCAACTCGCCAACCTTTCTCTTGATCTCTTGAGCGATGGTCTGAATGTCAGCATGAAGTTCGCATTGTTTATTTTGTATTGGTTCTTGTCTTTTATCTGCATTTGTGTTGTTTTCATCATGTCGCTTCTTTCTCTCCTCATCGTTCTCTCGAATCTTATCCTGCATCTTTTGAATCTCTTCTTGGAGTTTTTGGTTTTTCCCATCAATCTCCTGGTCGATTTTAGCAGTATCCTCCTGTTCCCTGACTTTGTCGCTTGCAATCGCCTTTTCGATTACGGAATCAACCTTTTCTTTGATACTCTGCAGATGTTCGTCGGCGGATTGTCTACACTCACGAATGTGCTTTCCATGGACTCGACATAACTCTAACTTCTCCATCGCCTTTTTCTTCAGAATGTTGAGCTTAGCTTTAATTTCCATGATTGCGTCCTCTAAATCCTGTCGCACGCAAGGCTTTTCATGGTGATCTATCACAGCGCATGAAACACATAAACCCACGCAATGTGTTTTACAGTACATATCGATATGTTTATCGTGTTTTTCACAGTACAGATAAGGCATACCCTTTCTTGCTATTCCTAAGCACTCCATTTTAGAGGCGCAGTCATGGCAGAGCTTCTTCTTCTCCTTCACATAGAAAGTAAGATCTGCATTCGCCTCACAGTCGTCTCCTTCACAGACGCCCTCTACAGAGCTCAATTCAGAAGCCATGCTGATCAGAGTATTGACCTGCATAATACAAGAAGATGGACATTCATGCACACAGAGAAGGGAAGACAGGCAGACAGGAGAGGAGAATAAGCAGACACAAAAAGAAAAAAAGGAATGTGAGAAGAGAGAAGAGAGGGGGAATTTATAAAAGAAAGACGAAGTATGTGAGAGACAGAAGAGAGAGAGAAAGAGAGAGAGAGAGAGAGGAAGAGAAAAAAGGAAGAAGAAAGGTGGAAATAGCGGTGGGAGACAGAATAAATTGAAAGGGAAGACACAAAATTAATGGTGTTTGATAAATAATCGCGCCTTATCTACGCTTATCGTCATCATCGCCGTCATAATCATCATGAGAGAAAGAGACAGAGAAAAATAGAAAGAAAGAGAAAAGAGAGAGAAAGTACAGGTAGTAAAAAAGAGAGAGAATAAGAGAGAGAGAGAGAGAGAAATTAGGAAAGAGAGAGGGTGGAGGATCTCTTCTATATATTATAGATATATCGACTGCTATGAGAGGCATCGCTGTTTCTATAGGGACAAGTTGACGTAACATCCTGATATGACCCCGAGGCGCGCCGCCCGTTCCTGAGAGCCAGTATAGAAACAGCTATGCTTCGAATATTAAAGCGGTCGATATATCTTTTATATACCAAATTCACAAACAAATCTACAAGTACTTCTTAATTTATCTTTTTCTTGATTAAAGACTGGTTAAACATCACAGAAAATCACAAAGACACTGTATGTAAATCTTCGCTGGAGAGTTGCTCGCACAAATAATAATAATAAGCGCTTTACAAATATATCATTATCCCGGTCAAAGAAACTGTTTACACGTTGACCAATGGGGATCTCAGCAAATTTTATTAATGCGGCCCGTCACCCGGGGCAACGAGCATCTTTTAAAAAACTATTGACCGGTAGGCGGGCATGCAGGCATCTTAACAAAAAAACTGTTGACCGGTAGGAGGGCATGGATAAAATCACGACTCCAATTTAGACCAATCAGATGACGAGATTTATTCAATATACTAAATAGAGGTCTATAATACTTTCTTTTGAACGCTTAATAAAAGAAAACAATATGATTATACATGCTTCATTCAGCTTTATGCACATCAGAAGGTTTGATGACTTTCTTAAAGTTCTTCTGTTTGGTTCACCACTTACTCTCAATACATACACCCCGTACTACATAGTCTTGACTAGCAATAACCATTCGTTTCTTCTCTGACATTTTTATCGTACTTCCGTGTTTAAAATTCCCCATTATTCATATTCCATCAAAGCAACACACAATATATTTCACCCAGTATTCACGTATCAGCTGCTTTTCTGACCTGTGTGATGTAAATTCCCAGAGAAAGCTGACCACGTGACACTTTTCCGATAATTAAAACGTTGTCCGAAGAAGAACAAGTGCGTCAGATGCAATGAAAATGGCGTCTGGTCCAACTTCAAACTACTGCGCATTTTGGCATTCATGCATTGGTATGCATAAATACAATTTCAATAGCAACTTACATGCATGCACGCATACAGTGCAGAAGTATAGCAGGCAAGAAGGAACAAATTATGACAATTGATAGGCACCGGTGCACTTCATGAATAAAATGATATGAATGTGAATAACAACAAGCTTACATTGGGACCCTGGTTCATAACACGTATTATGAGTGACAGGGTAAGAATATCAGATATAAGTTACTGAAGTCATTGCATTATGATTGGCAGGGAAGAAATTTGTTCCATCAGTTTGGCACTTGGTATTGATAACAAGTTTGATGAAAACTGGGCCCAGATTCCGCCCAGAGGACTGTATTTCTGAGAAAGAAATTTGTGAATCTTAGTATATTATCGCTGTGTGATGATACCATTGCCATTTTGTTATATTGCTTTTGTATTTTGATGTTTTTATTATGATGTAAATATCTGATAACTTTGTAGACCAGACAACATTAGCCTTGAGCTGCATATTATGGTGCTGTTTCCTATTAAACCAATTCAATTCAATTAGCATTAATTAATTAGACCATCTGACTCTTTGACAAACATGTTTTCAGTCCGACAGTAGCCGTCGGGTTCAGCCTCCGAGCCCCCCAAATAGACCCCAAAGTCGACTCGATTTGACACCTATCTAGCCCATGACCAAACATTTGTCAGTAGGAAGTTGTGTGACTGGACATTATACAAAACACATTAAACTGACAACAATTTCCGTGGGGATGAGGTGTCAGACGGCCACTTCCTTCTACTTCTATGGTAATACTCATCAACGCCTGTTCAGCATCTAGATGAGGGTCAAGCATAGAGTTGTTATATACATCTATATGCGGTACAGTTCCTGAAAAGGGAACTAAATTGTTTCAAGAGCCACCTTGAACTGCTCCAAAGACTTCAACGATGATTTGAAGTAGCTGTCCCAATCCTTCAGTGTCCTGGGGGAAATAACTAAATTTGTAAGTGTCCATTGAAGAGCCTATAGTCTCATATATCGTTGTTGTTGACTCCTCCTTGTAGTTCGCTCCCTCGGTTTGATGTAATCCGGTATTGGTATCGAAATTTTGTTATTTGCTATCTTGTAGAACATTGACAAACGTGCCTGCTTTCTTCTTTCTTCAAGAGTTGGGAGATTAAGTTGTTCTCGCGTGGATGTTACACTGGCATCACGCTGGTAGTTTCCACAAATGAAACGAAGTGCACGTCTTTGGATCTTCTCTAGTTGGTCTATCTGATTTCGCTTGTTGGGGTCTCATGCATACTACCGAAGCATACTCTAGCTGGGACCGTACGAGAGAGATGTATGCCATTTTTTTTCACTTCTAAGGAGTAGGGATTGGGGTAAAAAGTGTATATGTCTAATCTATGCCTACATCACGGGCACCACAGACAAATACAGTAGTAGTATATAGGGGGTGTCAGACAGAAAAATCCCGACTCATCTTTAATGAATTACATTTTAGAAATCCAGATAATTCATTTTCGTCGGTGACAGACAGGCTACGAATGATCCGGATAACTATTATCTAGATTAACTAGAAATATCGCAATCTGTATTGCCGCGCAATGCGAATGTATCCCCCGGCAGTGGCAGCGATTTTGTGTTATCCTTATGTGGAAGGAGGGACAAAGATTCCCTCTCCTCTTTGTGAAACAAAAGGATGACGTAGAGATTGCCGCAAGTGGCTCAGACTATTGTCAAGACTAGGAGCAGCATCACCAAAACAATAGGTGTGTAGATCAGATTATGTTGCATATTTATAGAAAATTTGAAAGAAATGTGATTTGCATAGCGACACAAGATATTCCTTTAAATATGACCTTTGACCCTATAAGAGATGGAATACTGGGGGGTAGCAGCACCAAATTTGTGGAGGTCTAGAGTAAACTATAATGAACCTTAATACAAGCAGCATCACTAAAATCTATAGGCTTGTAGATTATACCAAGATACACCTTTGTTCAAAATTTGAACAAAATCCCTTTAGAAATGTGGCCTATAGAGCGCACACAAACAAAAATATGGCCTTGTACCCTATAGAAGGCGGAACACTGGGGGCAGCATCACCAAAAGTTATGGGTATGTAGATTATACCAGGATACACCTCCATACAAAATTTGAAAGAAATCCGTCAAGAAATGTGGCAGTTAGAGCGCACACTAGAGTGCACACAAGACATCTATCAAAATATGACCTTTGACCCTATAAAAGACGGAACATTGGAGGCAGCATCACTTAAATCTATAGGCTTGTAGATTATACCAAGATACACCTTCGTTCAAAATTTGAACAAAATCCCTTTAAAAATGTGGCCTATAGAGCGCACACAAACCATCCACAGAAATATGGCCTTGTACCCTATAGAAGACGGAACACTGGGGGCAGCATCACCAAAAGTTATAGGTATGTAGATTATACCAGGATACACCTCCATACAAAATTTGAAAGAAATCCATCAAGAAATGTGGCAGTGAGAGCGCACACAAGAATATGACGCGGCGGCGGCGTAACGCTGCTGAATCCAAAGTACCCCACCGGCATACTGCCGGGGGGCGAATTTTTTTTCCGTACTCGAGAGAGCAAAAATCCCATGTGCGCATGCGCGTGGACTTATGATTTCTCTGCTACTTCCCATACGAAATGTACATGTATTCGCATGTACTGTGCACGATTCGCGTTCTACGAGTAAACGATGGCATAGTAGTCTTCAAACACAGACTCTGATTTGCCAGTTTGACAAATCAATATGCGTATGTGTCGCGATGTGCTTATTCAAGTCTGTGTAGTTGTATGATTCAGACCCAGTAGTGCATATGGAAATACATTGCAAGTTGTATAGAATGGTATAGTAGTCTGCAAGCACAGACGCTAATCTGACAGTTTGACAACATACTAGTAGTGTGCTGAGAAGTACTTTATTCAAGTCGCCACAATAGGCCTATATTATTCTGTCAAACTGTCAAAGGAGAGTCTGTGCTTGCATACTACTATGCCACTCTATAAGTTGAGGTGCATTTCCAATACACGCACCAGTAGGGTCTGAATCATAAAACTACTCAGACTTGAATAACACTATTTTGTCAAACTGTCAGATTAGCGTCTGTGCTTGCAGACTACTATGCCACTCTGCAAGTTGAGATGCCTTTCCAATACACGCACCAGTAGGGTCTGAATCATAAAACTACACATATTTGAATATAAAGCACTACTCAAGACACTATGTTGTCAAACTGTCCGATTAGCGTCTGTGCTTGCAGACTACTATACCATGCTATTCAATTTGGGATGCATTTCTGTAAGCACTAAAATGTCTGAATCATACAACTACTCAGACTTGAATACTAGTACTATTGCTACGCACGATATATGCGTAATTGTTTTGTCAAACTGGCAAATCAGAGTCTGTGTTTGAAGACTACTATGCCATCGTTTACTCGTAGAACGCGAATCGTGCACAGTACATGCGAATACATGTACATTTCGTATGGGAAGTAGCAGAGAAATCACAAGTCCACGCGCATGCGCACATGGGGTATTTGCCCTCTCGAGTACGGAAAAAAAATTCGCTGCCGGGGGATACAATGATGGGCCAGTGTGCATGCGCCGTTTAGGTAGATAAGCATTGTGACATCACACGTTCAAACACAAGTAATGCGTAATTAACGCGTCACATTAAATGCGCGCTAATAATTGTTCGCATGTTCTTAGTAACATTCTGTCGAAAAATACTGCTTCATTTTCATTAGTTTAAGTATGTGCAAAAAACATGTTATGAGTTCAATATTAATTTTATTTTCCTCTTTTTTGTCTTATATCAATTTTTTAAATTGATATCAAGAATACTTTCAGTAATTCATTAATTCAGATAAAAAATTTACTGGTGCCAGTAAATTTCTTTTTCAATTGCTTCCATTAATTTTGTCATTAATTATCGTTTTAATTAATATTATCGTTTTGTTTGTTTTTATTATTATTATTATCATCATCAATATCGTTATTGTCATTATCATCATTTTTCTCACTATTGTAGATAGTAGATAGTGTTATTTTGTATGGATCAATTATATTTGTATTGTATATTTCACAGTGTTAAATTGACAAATTCAAACTGATTGTAAACTTCTCCAATACCCCAATGTGCGTGACATGAGAATAATTTGTGATTGTGATTGTCATTGTCATTGATATCGCGTTAAAAACCATGTGCCAGCCAGTCAAACGTTAACCTTACACTGACCTTTAAAGGGTTTATTTCAGACAGAAAAATCCCTAAAAATCCCTTCAAGGGAGAAATTAAAAAGATTTTTAAAGGGTTTATTTAAGGGAAAATTGATGACAGACAGCCCATCAAGTGGATAACTAATTATTTTCCGGGTTGTTGGCCTCTGTCTGACACCGCCTTAAATGGGAACCACCCACGTCACCGGCCGGTTGCAAAAGTGTAATGCGCGCTAATATAGATTGCGTAAAAATTATTGTTACGCAACAAATCTCTGCGCATAGTCTCATTTCATTAGTTTACATGACATAAACAAAGTTAAAGTAAACAAAGGTTAATTACGGACGAATCAGGCACTATCACACACGTACACTCGATGGACAAGCAACAAGAGTCGTCACCCAACGGTAAGGTGAGAATTGTTCTTAATATTATTGTCTAGATTGTTATGATTTCTTGGGTTTATGATTAGGACAAGTGATGTTTTATACAGGTATTGAAGAACATTAGATCAAGATCTAGGCCTAGATCAAGAACAAAATAGATCTATAACAATCTGTCGTGCATGATGATATTGATAAGGGTTATGGTGGTGTGACCAAAGTTCGCGTGTGACCTAAGTTCTCTATTTCAAAAAATCAGGAAGATTTCGACAATCTGATATCACCAATGGAAAGAGGAACATGAAATTACCCAGAGATGAAATTTTCTTTGGAATTTGGTACGAAATTGTGAAAATATTGACAAAAGATCGGCAAATTTTACAATCATTTGCCTCCGTTCCGAAAAATTATCAATTTACTGATAAGGCCTTAAGGGTCTGAAAATTTTCAGTTTTCAATTTGAGTTCCTCAAAATCGTGAGTAAAAGTAGTACAAACGGATTGTATGATATCTTGCCTTGCAAATTATGATAGAACTTATTTTTGATGGATCACTTTTGTTGATAAATCAACTGTAGACCTAAACCCCAGTGCGTGAAGTTAGGTCTCGTTGTTTTTATGACTTTTTTTAGATGCAGCGCGCACGCACGATTGGACAACAAATTTTTAGATCGCAATATCTCCGAAACCCGTCGACGATAAATTTTCTAGTTGAACCAGTCTGTAGTAAAAAAAACTTTGCCGTCTATTTGTTTAGAATATGAGAAATCATAGATCGAATATCAGAGTTTGTAATGTGTTCTTAAATGTCCCCGAACTTTGGTTACCCCTTCATTTTATAAGAGGACATTTTTTTTTTTTTTTTTTTTTTTTTTTTGGGGGGGGGGGGGGTGTCCAAAAATTTGAAAATTTGGCCGATCGATATTTCGTTTCGTTGGGGGGAGGGGTAAGGTCAGCTTTTTGTCACCCATTACCACAATTATTTTCAATTTTTTTCCTTTAAAAAAAAAAAAAAGGGGGGGGGGTTTCCTCCAAAACACACACACACACACAAGCTAAAGGGGGGTTCAGACCCCCCCCCCCCCGCCTCGCTCCTCCCCCTCCCCCCCCCCCCCCCCCCCTGCGTACGCGCCTGGTGTCCGCACACTCAAGCCCGACCTCATCATATTGTATGTTCGGAGCCAGAAGTCTTTATTCCTTTAACTGTTACATGTACTTTAACGCAGGCTTAATGCCCTTGTGGCTCTGATCATATAATTATGCTTGTATTAAAAACTATCGTTTTGGAAATTAATACAGCTCAGTCTTCGATCTGGATGTCATCGGGAGTGAGGTCCTCAACAGTGACACTACCTAGTACCTTATCATCAGGGGTTTCTGGTACCCAAGACTCCATCCTATTTCCTGGATGCGAACGAGTTGGGGACCAAGACTGTTTACCAACTAGTACAAGATCCGACCAAGGTTTCCCTGACCAGGAAAAAGAAGAAGAGTTCGTCTCACAAGCATTGCCCAAAGGATTCCTTGATCAAGAAAAGGACAAAACTAGGCGGGATATCAATTAACCTTTGCGGTTGCGACGCGACAATGGTTCAACCGTCCAGGATAGACTGCATTAAAACCAAAGTATTGGGTATTGGTGAACAGCCACTAAAGACGCCTGTTAAAGACCACAAGAATTCTGCTGCATATAAGAGCTCATACGAGATTGAACTAGAGCAAAGATCTGGTCCATGTATGCCTACTGGAAAAGGTATCGGATGCTTGATTACGAATGAACCAAACGCTCCAGAAAAGGTAGGGTCAATATCAAATGAAGAAATGGCTGGTCAACTTATAGATCACTCAAGGCAACGGTTGGAGAAGACCCTCGGCCAGACAGACCAGACGATTGAGGAAAGCCGTCGTTGTGATAAAGGAGATGTAAAGAACGCGACGTTGTTTGAGAGCGGCGACCAAAATAAAGATGGCGAGAATCAGACTTCAGATGACGGTCACCAAACGAAGGATAATCCTGCATTGCGGAGACGACATCGTGACAGTCCGACTGATGCGATTGATGAAAATGGCGCCAAGCAAACGACGGAGCCGTCACGCAGCACTATCGGTCGTGTCATCATGATAGACGGCATCAAGTTTGTAGCTGTAACTTGTCTCCAACCGCCCAAAGGTAAGGAGGAATTTTGGGTGTTGACAGAAAAAAAATCGCTAAAATGTATACTCCGCTGGTTTATCTATTATAACCCTCTACAGCTATACAGCTATACAGTCTCCAATGTTCTATGTTTCCTATTTGAGCCGCTATCAGATTTAGTTCCCTCTTATCTCTATTAATGTTATCCTTCCAACGATCAAGTTCTCGGCCTGCCTCTTCCTCCGCTTCCTTCCACTGCTCGCGTCATAATGTCCTTTGCTTGTTTTCCTTAATCAGCCCTCTCCAAGTGTCCAAACTATCTCAATCCCATCTCCCCATCTTCAGCAGAATGTTAGCTACCTTCTGTTCTTTTCTTATTTCCTCGTTTCTTTTCCTGTCTCATAATGTTAGCCCGATAGTATCCTTTGTAACACCCACAATTTCTGTCTCCTATGCAAATTCTAATCAGTCGTATTCCTGCATGTACGTACTAAGAGCTAGAGCATTTAAGGTGGTGGCAGATTTGGAACCATATACATTTTTTAAGACGTACGGTTGTCTACGTTTTCTTCCCAGGGCATTGCAGAACTTGCAACGGGTTTGGTTCATTGCTCTACTTCTCTGCTCGATCCTGCTACACCCTGGAAGCAGCTGAAAAATTCTGCTCCGTGCAGTGCGCCAGGACGTTCATCAACGAGACACGGTCCCGTCTGACACCTTCTCGCCAACCGTCTGGGGATGTGGGTAGCAACGTGTCTGTTCCGAGATCAGATGTAAGTCATGATTATCAAGTTTACTAAAATAATGAGCACCGGTACCCAAAAGAGGAGAATAAAGCATTGGCTTGCGGGCACGGTTATGCGACATTATTATTATTCCGTGTCAATTTCCTACACTTAATCCAGGACCCAAAACTCTTCGTAACCCTAACCTTCACCATAACCCTAACTTTAAACCTAACTCAACCTAAAACCAAATCGTAACCCTAACCCTTAACCTTGGACGACATAGTGTCCAGAGAAATTTGTCGCATGAGTATAAGTCAGGTCACTTGCGAGCGGTTATGGTACATGTTTTCGAAAGGGGAGGAGGACTGACGCTTCTTGCCCGCATATTAGCTTTCCCGTTTCTAAGCATTCCTAAAGGAACGAAGGAAGGGGCGATTCCTTTTTAACGGGTATTTTGTCATCAAATTGCGTATGGAAATTTATGAATAGTCTTTTATCCTTGTACATGTACTTCGCTGCCTTGGATATGAAGATATTGGGCATCTCGCTGCCTGAAAAATTAGTATTTTCACAATTAAAAATGTTCGTTATTGTGGATTGATGAACCTCTTATCAATCTGTTTTGGAGTCGCTATTGGTTACAGTTATTGTCAGACATGTTTTTGCATCTGTATCCCGTGATGTTGCATTAGAAGGCCTGAAACATACTTTGAATTATCATCTCTGTATAAATTGCAGGTCCGAAAAAACCAACGAGGTCATAAAGATGCTGGTGACGTTATAGAAGCAAGAAATGCAAAGGGGAGAAACATCATCAAATCTAAACGTGTATCCCGCAATGTCGAGACGCTCAAAAACATTTACGTTGATAGTTTGGTCACCAGCACGATTGACAGGTCAAGAAATCACAGGAAAGAGGCACATAAACGTGACCCCAAGAGAGGGGGCACAGATGGAAGTCTGACTCCACCTCTTCCTGGACAGCTCGCCAAGACTGATCGTAAGATTATATCGAGATCAGAAACGTCAGTTGTGGAAAGAACTGTAAAAATTGATGACAGAGAACTTATGTCGACGACTTCTGACACGAAAATGTTGAACCCGGTATGTCAACGAGAAGAGATGAAAAGCGCTCCGAAGGAAAGGTTCAAAGGACCGAAGAAGATTCTTCAAGAAACCCGGTTGAGTGAACGAGGAGAGTCTTCTACGTCTCCAAAAATCGATGGGAAGAAAAAAGAGAGAGAGGATTTTGTAAAAGGACAGAGGAAAAAACTCAGCTTTACGCCGATATCGTCATCGGTTTGGAAACGAAATGATCTTAGCAGTATGGTCCGTACGATTGGAAGTAATGGGAGACAGGGTGAAAAATCTCAAAGTATACCATCTTCAAGAGGGAAGTCAGCCATCGAAAGTTGCAAATTGCAGCAAGGTCACTTACATAGAGGACCGACTAAAATGTCAGACGAAAAAGAATCAAGAGCTACATCTCATGACTCAAACAAACCTCTTCGTAACTTGACAAAGGGCAGCCTGTCCAGGTCGAAGACGAAACTGTGGAAGAAGTACGGCAGAAAGTTTCAATCACGTTCTTGCGAATTCCATCAGCTGGATACGACGAAGGTATCTCGAGAATGCGACACACCTGAGCCGACTTCACAGGGACTAGTGAGGGCGAACACAAAGGGCGACGCCAAGCGAAGCGTCGATACCGCACTGAGTCTGAACCAGTTTCACGAACGCAGAAGATCACTCTTCAAGACCGTGTTCCCCTTTCAAGATACCCTCGTGTCCAGAGCTGCTCCAGGTCTTAAAAAATCTGTCGAAGATTGCGGTGACGTGTCCACGCCAGCCATTCACACACCAACGCCAGGATCACCCAGCACGAAGTCCTGCGTTTCCAAAATGGGAAGTACAGTAAAGACCAGGCGTGGTCAGTCCGGTTGCAAGACGTCACAGAGGGGTCTGTGCATTGACAAACAAAACGTTGATAGACCAAACTCCAAGTGGGCTAATCTATTTCAATTCATGATTGAAGCAGCGGACCTGGAAGAATTGGAGAGAAAGAAAGAATCAAACGACAGTGATAAGTACAGTGTGGCTAAAAATGCCGTCAAAGATCGGACAGAGACCCCAAGCATGGCACGTCGTGAATCGAGACTGTCGCGTGATACAACGTCAGAGGAAGTGCGAACATTGGACAATCAAAACAGTAAGGAGAAAAGGAAGAAGAAGAAAAAGAAGAAAAAGAAGAAGAAAAGGAAGATCAAGAAGGAGAAAAGTTTACGCCAAAACAATGCTCTAGAATTCGGGATGACCCTAGATTTTGACAAGAAGCGACCTGAAACCCCAACGAGTGGCAGGCGGAAAGGAAAGGATAACAACCGAAAGAGCAAACATGAATCGGATAGCCCTGGTTCCCCTGGAAGCAAAGAAGACCCTGACGCTTGGCCAAAGTGGAAAGGAGACGGTAAGAAAAGGATGAACGTGATGAGCAGCATTGATCTTCTCATTTGGACCATGAAAAACAGGTTCCAACCCAACATTGGAGGGTCTTCCAGTTCTCGAGTAAATGGCAACCTTTCTACGAAGTTTGATTCGTCATAAGCGAAGGACCCATTTCGGAGATCTGAAAACTAAATGGGAAATATTCAGGGTGTCATTTCGAGGACTGACCTGAAAGAGAGCACGCTTCCTAATGACGTCATAAATGAAAGGTCGTACGATGCAGACTGGCCTTCATATAGAACTAAAAGCGACGTCATACAGTTCATATTATTCAGACTGTCACGTTAAAGCAGATATTCATTGATTTTAAAAACTAAATTTATTTTCATTATTGCAAAGTTGAAACTTGGATTCGACAAGGTTATCGAAATTCAATGCTTGGGAACATTCGAAGTAAGGATTATTATAAATTACAAAACGCTTAGATAAAGCCCCGGCATAGCATGCTAAATGTATTCTATTGCCTCACTCTAAACCCCGTGCATGGTTTTATTTTAATGACAAATGCAGCGATACCAAAATAGGGGAATCTGTCGCTAGCAAACAAAATAAGACGCCATTGTATATTCAGCTGCACACATCGGGTTATGCTCGGCGTTTCAAGAGGGAACAAATGCCGTCCTTAATATCATTCCGGGGGGTTTTCAATTTGAAAGTCTGGTTTCTTCGATTGTTAATTAACCCCTATCCTGTGTATTTACAAGCAAAAGATTTTTGTTATCAGAATCGGGTCATATCCCCTTTTGAATGGTTTGACATGCCATTACATTTATATACACTAAACTCATTATAATTTGAAAAATAATAGCTTTGCAATTATGTCCATTCTCTATGGGATCTCGTCTGCTTGGGCAGTGTTGGTCCATATAGTGACGTCATCAAAACATCGTTATTTTTCCGGCGAATCCCTCGTATATCCCAGCTGCGATGGAGGTGGTTGTATTTGTATTTTTATAAATCACCCGATATGTTGACATATTTGTGATCTTCTTTGAATTTCACCTTTAAAAAAAATGAAAGATCATATCAGGCACATAGAGAGTGCAGTGACCCTCACATTTGCGACTTTACTAATGAATGATTTTTTTTTTCTTTCGGCGCACTGATTCGGCAAAGACCCACACATTGTGAGGTTCATGTAAAAAAAAATTAATGGAAACAATGGGCGAGTTCAAGTTCGGTGTTGGTGCTGATCTTTTCACGACACTAACATCAGCTTTCGACACCGAACTTGAAATCAACCAAAGGCATGACCTGCCAAACAGAGATCTATAGATTGGTTGGGTGAATGCATGTCCAGCGAAAGGCCTTAGCGGGTTGAGTTTGGTGATCCGACATTTGCTCCGGCGATATTTACTTCAGCGACATTTTGTTCGGGCGACATTAATTTACTTCTGCGACATTTGTTCGGGCGTCCTTTGCTGCAGGCATTAATGTCTATTCTGTTTGACTCTATATATTTTGTTTTCCTTTGTGTGGTAATCGTATTTGTATATTTCATCTGTATATAGCGTACATATAAATTTCATGGTGTTTATAGCATTATTTTGTTTATTGTTTTTGTTAATTTGCTCAGCTAAATCATTATGATATTGTTGAGGGTATATATTTTGCAAGCTATAGGCTTCTTAGTAGGTCTTCAAATTTCCAAAATACTCTCTTGTTTTAGATCTCAATCTGTTCATTATGGTCTTTAGTTTTAATCTTTTTCGTCAAATCTATGTTAATATTTGCCATAAACTTGAATTGGTCAAATATGAATACAATTGTATTCATGTTTAAAATTGGGAATTCTGATGGTGTAAAAAAATTTGACCGCAGAGCAATTCCAATGGTCGCTAGAGCATACATGTACAGTAAGTAGTAAAATCGAAGGGCAAGTCGGAGCCTCATTTCGTAGAATAAATTCGTATCGTCTTAATAACTTTTTTTACAAGATTACTTTGAATAGTGATTCAATCCAAGGGAAATCCAACCTTGATAGCAAACTACTCTACAAGATTTGCATTTCAAAGATGAATTAAATGCAATGGAACAAATTAATTTTGCTATTAATGAAATAAATCAAATGATCATAATTTTAGTTTAACGTAAATAGTATTAGAGCTATATGTCTAGTGTCTTTTTTTTCATGAAATTCGACCTGGCTAATCACTCATCTCAAAGATTTTTAGCCGCTTTTCGAACGGATCATCGATTGGCCAGTTTGTTTTGACTACAGTAAATTATTAGCCTTCGCTTTATACTTTTTCGTGTATTTCCATTTCATGCCAATGCTTTTTGGTTCTGCCATACGGGCAACTACTGGGATTTGGTTTCTGAAAATCAAAACATAAAAAGGGAACATGACAAATGTCCAGAAATTGTTGAATATAAATGAGAGAATTTGAGATGTAATGGAGAAGAAATCTAGATTTTAAAGAGTGTGGGACAAATTTATGGGAGAGAATGTATTGGCAGCAATAAATGGAATTATTTCAACCCATGAATGAGCTATTAGTGCTGACTGATCTTTTTTAATGTGATAATATTTTTATTATAGCGATATAGACTGCAAGATAGGAAAGCAAATAATGCAGGGAGGGACAAACAACATGAAAGGAGAGGATGAATGAGAACAGAACAGGAAAATAGGCTACATGTACTAAATATAATCACCAGAGAGAGAGGGAGAGGGATTGAGAGCGAGAGCGAAAGAGAGAACCGACGAGAGAAAAAGTGAGAGCCAGGGAGAGATAAAGATGGACAGATAGGCAGGAAAGGTGAAGTTAAAATGCTTGTTACGCTTTCTAAAGGCCCGGTCACACAGAGGGGACGCATGGGGGACGCACGGCCAGCGCAATGGAAATTTGGAATTTTGACCAGTGCGTTGTCGTTCGCTAGGTGTGCGTCATCATTCGTTACTCGTTCCTCGAGCGCGCTGGACCCACGCTATGCATTCGTCGTCATTCGTTGTGTGCGTCGGGATTTTTTGAGCATGCGTCCCCCATGCGTCCCCTCTGTGTGACCGGGCCTTTAGCAATCACTACCATAATTGGCTGAACGTTTGACGGGCCTACGAAGTATAAACCAGCAAACTTGATATTGGAAATATTAAGAACAAACAGTCCTTTCATTTTGTTACTCTCATATATGTTCTTCATTACGTTGTATGTTTCGTTAATCTCTCCTCTTTCTCCGTCTCAACAGTTAAACTCTCTATTATCTCCCCCACCCATATTTTCTCTCTCACTTCTCTCTCTCTCTCTCTCTCTCTTTCTCTCTCTCTCTCTCTCTCTCTCAGTTTAAATTTTGACTTGGCGCACTTACTCTTAAGAATATGAGGAATAATGTCAATTTAAGCTTTAGAGGAATACAGTATGGAAGGAACTTCCTTGTCGATTTCGTGTCAAATGTTAGGGGCGCAGACATACAGCTCCCCCATCATACCTTAAGCAGACTAGCGACAACCAAGAACTTCGCAAAGGTAACACATTGATGAATTTTGAGCTTTTATTTTAAAAGCAATACTCACTTCTGTCATATGATACGAGATACAAGAAAAAAAAAGTTAGGCACGCCACCCTTCAATACATGTCAGTATACAAATAAATCCACGGTTATTATGAACAAACCTTAAAAGAGAGGTAACAAAGATGATTGCATGTACATGCATTACAAACAAGAAAAATCCCCTAGCTCACTGTAAAACCAGCAATGTCTGTGACACAAAACTTTTGTGCAGTGCAAATAACAGCCTCAAAGTGTCACTATATTTCCAATAACCTCAATTAAATTATGGCCAAAAATATACTTTGCATTAAAAAAATTGTTATATAATAAGAATATTAATCTACATCTGCACAGTTCAACTCAAGTTGATGCAGTTAATAATGATTGAGCATCCCATTCGGCTTTTCATATTTCATAAGTCATTCGTAAAGTCATGCGTAACTTTACAAACAGCTTTATGAAACACCCCCACAGATTTCATTAATTTGCGGCATAACAATATTTATGCAAAATAATTGTGTTGTTACACTTTATGAAAGACTTTTTGGATTTTGCCAAATTTGATTTAAAGGGACCTGGTAACATTGTTCAGATGAGAGATAGTGGTGCTAAGGTAGTGACTTCAATGCTAGATGTACAATTACAGATAATTTGAAAGTTTGAGTGAAAACGGACCATTATTCATGGTACAAATTGGGAAAAACTGATCTGATCGATTCCTCAATTCTCCCAACTATATTATTACAATTTAATTACATTTTAGGTGAATGGAAATCGTCACAAAGCAATAAAATGGCTCTACATTCCATTCCAGACATAATAAGTGTTGACGGATTCTTTATAGCCTGTTTTATGTCCTTTTTTTCATGGAAAAACGGTTGGGAAAATTCAAAATTGTTTGGGAGAATTTACTGTTAATCAATAGAGGGTGTCATACATCGACTCCGTCAAGGAAAACTATAGATATCTTCGTGGTTTGAGAATTTTCTCAGGATTTTTTGCATGTCAGAGGGTTAGAACAGTAGAAGGAATATAGTAAGTAACATTTTATACAAAAATTAAGCATTTTTTTCATCAACCTTCAACAATGTTACCAAGTCACTTTAACTTGAAACTTTAACTTTAACCGAAAGAATTAAACATTATATAAATTTATCTGGAAAGATATGGATAGAGTTACCAGAAACCAAATGATTCAAGATTATGATTAAGGTGAGGTAAGAATGGTTGATGTTTAAAGTTATATTTATGCACTTAAAGTGACATGGATAAGAAGAATTCTAAGAGCAGATAATGTACAATGGTGTAATGTTTTTGTGACCATAGCTAACACTCCTGACCTGTTATATGTTGTGAGTGGTTCCCAAAAACTGTGTTATATATTTCATCCTGATCAAAATAAGAATTGTTTTATTTATGTTTTAATAGCTTGGAGTAAGTTTGTGCTTCTCATGTACCACAAAATGAATATGATCTAATGACAAATATGTTGTGGTTTAATGATAGAGTTAAAATTGGCGGCGAGTGTATTTGTTATAATCATTGGGCAAAGAAAGATGCAAGGTCCGTTAGTGATATCATGAATGATTCAAGGGAATTCCACCTTTCCCTCAACAGGTTTAGGGACAGATTTAATGTTCGAACAAGTTTATTGAATACGGTGGAGTAGTGAATGCAGTTAGAAAAGGTAGGCTCTTGGAGAATATATCTACTAAATTTACTCAACCCTTCAAACCTTTCCATTTCAATTTTTGTTTTTAAAGATAAGAAATGGTCGAGGAATATTTATGATATGCTTGTTTCTGTTTAAAAAGTCATAAGAAAATTTACTGAAAAATGGAACAATATGTTGAACATTCGATACATTCAAGACGATTGGTCGGTAGTGTATAATATCCCGTATAAATGTACCACAGATACAAAAATTAAGGTGGTTTCAGTTTAGGCTCATCCACAGAATGTTAGGCGTTAATTCTTTCCTTATTAAAGTAATAAAGTCGATTCAGGTCTCTGCTCCTTCTGTAGTCTTGAAGAAGAAGAGACATTAATTCACTTGTTCTGTGTATGTCCGATAATCATATTGTTTAGGAACAAAGTAGCTCAATGGTTGAGGGAGCTTTCAAGTATCCATATTCAAATTGATGAGGATTTGTGTTTATTTGGAGTCAGATCTCTCAAATTTAGTGCTTTGAACACTATCATGCTAATTTCTCGTTTTCATATCTACAAAATGAAAATGAATAATAAACATCCAAATTTAGGAGAGGTTGAGAGGTATTTTTTTTATCAAGAGAGGTTCATCTTTATAAAAAAAACTATCAGTGTGATAACTTTGATTAGAATTGGGGATTGTATTTTGATTTCTTTTATGCAGTAGGCTTTACCTCTGCTTCTCTAAATTTTGTATAACTTGAAATTTGTATATTTTCTGTGTAAAACCGATGTATTGACATTGCAAATTGATGTGAAACTAATTATAGTTCTTTTTTCCCTTCTGGAAAAAAAAAGAAGAAACAAAAACAATTTTGTTAAACTTATGCTTTTAAAACCCAATGTGTAATAGTAATCACTCATCTTAAATACAATGCTTCATTAATCCACTAAAAATTATACTCATCAGAAAACGTAAGTAAGTGCCTTGAATAAACATGGACTTGTTAGAAAAACAGAAGTCGACATAATACACATCTCAAAACTAATTAAATGATACATGTTGCATTGTAAATTGATTTATATGTTTATAAACAGAATATTGATATACACCAATAAAGTTTAATAAATACAATACATGTATGTATTTCCTTATAAATTTAATTTATATATGCAGCACAATTTCCCTATAAATGTTCGAATAATCATGACAACTTGTCTTCAGCAAATTGATTTTTGGAAGATTACAAGCCTATCCTTGAAACATCACCATCGATTGGTTTTATTTATTATAATTTCATGTCCTTTAGAACGCTCACTTTATCATAGACGATTTTTGCTGCTACAGCATCTTCAACAGCCAATCCTAGAAGACAAAATCAAGATAAGAGCAGGGTCGGTTAGATCTTAGAAAATTATTTTGTCAAGGCCAGCAAGGGATTGGATTCAACTGGTTCCAACGTTTTAACTGGGGATGCAAAGATCGACCTACCCTTGGTTTTAGGACACCATCAAAATCAGTCGGTTTCATTTGTTATGGTTTGTTATTGTTATGGTTTTCGTTCAGTTGGGGGGGGGGTGGGGTTTCCTCCAAAAAAACACACACACATTAACAAAAAATGAGGGGGGGGGCTTTGACCCCCCCCCCCCCCCCCCCTGCGTACGCGCCTGACAGCAAGTAATGTTAAAGCAGTCAATATTCACCTTGAGATTTGAAGACCGTAAGCTCATCTCTTTTGGCTTCCTTGGTCCCATTAATCACCTCTCCAATCTCTGCAAACACCGTCACCTTCAAGATAATTAGTGAATAAAGAATGACACTTTAAATTTGTAGCTTAGCAAAGCACAGTAGTGGCACGTTATGATGCGTTAGGAATGTCAAAGGCATAACGGTTGGTGATATTGGTGAATTTAAACTTGTAATTTCAACAATATACAATGCCACTTTCCGTACGTTGGCATGATCTCGATAGTAAATGTACACTTTACATGTATTTCTACCACCATGCCACAAATGACGATTTTTCCCAGGTAGTAATACAAACCTAATCGGAGTTTTAATTAAGGACCTACGTTGAGGAAACCTGGAAGACCTCATCTTACCTATACAGACCTACTCAAGAAGGACACGGGACTTGAACTGTCAGAGATAAAAGCAGCCATGCTGGACAGGAATGTGTGGAAGGCCATCACAGCTCGGGCAGTTGACCCGACTTAAGCAAGCATAAGCATGTTGTCAGTTTATTTATGTCAGAATAATTTCCTACCACGGAAGTGAAGGTGTCGGGAAAGGTGATTGCACAGCATCTAAGCATTAATGGTACACTCACAGAAAGCCTCACAGGAGTGTTATACATAACAATAAATCTAGCCCAACCTCACCCAAGGTTTGTCTGCTTCACCCACACAACAATGGTGATTCACAGTCTCTTTATTTGACTAGAGCTGGGCCCTGCTTCATACAACTTTTATCAGTAACAAATGCTAAATTTATATGACGAATTCGCTGCCAGCCAATCAAATATCAGGATTTCAGTAGCTTATAACAGTTATTCGGAAAATGCTTTGTGTATACTTTGAGTGTTTCGTAACACATTTTAACCCCCGTAAAAGTGGATAATTTGATTCAACTACATGTAGTATCAAAGTAATTTGGGTTAATAGCGATGGGCAAATCTAAACTCAAACTACTGAAGTGCTGATGGGTCTAACATCTAAAATTCTAGTTTTGGGGCTCTTGGAGAAGCAGAAAGATCTTAAGCAAACAGAAAATACAAATTAAAAAATAGCATTTACTATCACTACGACTTTCAAGATATACCAAGTGACCTCATTTAGAGGATACCTCTTGCAATATTCTTGGTAAGTGGGATATAATGCTAATTACCTTGGAATGGACGATGTCCCCAGAATTTTGATATGCCCCTGGAGTGTTATCTGCGTAGATTACAGCCTTCTTCATCACCTCAACGCCCAACTCCTGAGCCCATGGTTGGCAGGCCCCAACACCTAACACACAGTGTGATGATCAAAGAGAACTGGAATCCTCAAAATACTGTACTCAGGTCATATAGCAGCGTTTAGGAATGATTGATCCTCGTACCATAAGTTCAAACTATGTCCTATATCACTGGGCCGGTATTCAATTCAAAACTTAAAGGCATCGTTTAACAATGTTAAATCTGAGATGCACGGCCCTACGTGTTATCAGTGTCTGTGATATGGTGCAATATTGAAGCCCTAAAAAATTGCGCTTCAAAATGATCAAAAAGTGCCTCCAAAAGTAAACATCTTTGAGTGACCGGTTTTTCCATACTCGTTTTCCCCAATAGACTGTAGTGTTCAAAATTTGTAATTCCAATAAAAAATATCTTGATAATCAGACATGCTATCGGCTTGTAAAAATCATGGGGTTCCTGAAAGACCTAAATGTTTATCATTATCATTGCAGCATGAGTTAAATCCAGGATTTTTTTTCAGAATCTGAGACAAAGTTACTTGATCCCTTTAAGTTTGAAATAAGAGTATTTTAGGCTTAGTCTTCTGCTTAGATAAAATACTGATGCTAATTTTGTGAAGGCCTTGATATGCAGGCGTATGTTTTTTTAAATCTTTATATACAACTCACTCCCAGATCCTAACCAAATGATTTGTCATGCGCGGTCACGTGTGATTCATTTACTGAGATTATAAGATGATGACGTGGACCCTAATCAAATGGTTGATTGAGAGCGTACACGTGCCCAGGCATTTATTTTGCCTGACACATAATTTTGATATCGACCGGTCATTAGTAAAATCATGTTTTAAAACATAATCTTATAAAACAAATAATACCCATAATTTTGTTCAGACATTAGTAAAATTACCTAGGATAAGTAAGAAATTTACGAAGTATATGGCTCAGCTAAGAAGTTTACTTATATCGTATTCAAATCTCATTTTAGGCTATAACTTGCCTGCGACAAAATCTAAGTAAATACTTAATGATAAGCATTGTGACGTCTCACGGTCAAAGCAAAAGTAACGCGCAATTAATGAGTCGCAATAAATGCGGGTGCGCAGGTTATGATCATTGCCGTTTTTCTGGGCTGTCGCCACGGCAAACCTTAACTTTGCCTTATATATTACCTTTGCCTTATTTGTTACCGCTTTGGCACGAAAGATAGTTTGAGAAATAGATTGGGATCTATCGGTGTTAACTAGCATAGTTCTCCCCTGTGCATCGTTTCAACGTGTACAAAATTGTAAAATCCACTCAGACTAATACTGGATACATGCTCACGAAAGTTATGTAATATTATACAACAATTTTACCTAAGATACATTCTATTGAACACAGCTTCATGAACATGAGTTTCATTACTTGTTTGTATGCCCTACCTTTCGTTCAGAAAGAAAACTGTTCATCGATAAATATTTTATTGAAAGACCAAATACACTAAAAATGGGTCAGCTTTTTAACTCCAATAATGTACATACACGTTTAAACTTAGTAAAATTCTGTCGAAAAATAATGCTTCGTTTTCATTAATTTAAGTATGTGCAAAAACATGTTATGAGTTCAATATTAACTTTATGTTTCTCTTTTTTGTCTTATATCAATTTATTAAATTGATATCAAGAATATTTTCAGTAATTCATTAATTCAGATATAAATTTACTGGTGCCAGTAAATCTCTTTTTCAATTGCTTCCATTAATTTCGTCATTAATTATCGTTTTAATTAATATTATCGTTTTGTTTTTGATTATTATTATTATTATCATCATCAATATTGTTATCATTATCATCATAATTTTTCTCACTATTGTCGATAGTGTTATTTTGTATCGATTAATATTAATTCTATTTGTATTGTATTGTATATTTCACAGTGTTTAATTGACAAATTCAAACTGATTGTAACCTTCTCCAATACCCCAATGTGGGTGACATGAGAATAAATTGTCATTGTCATTGTCATTGTCAGTGTTAACTATCGAATCTTCAAACATTCTTTATGTTTAGAAAGATACTTAATCGATCTCATTAAAAGAGATCGGACAATATTAAGTCGTTTTCGCTGTGGCAATCATTACCTGCCGATTGTAGCTGGTAGATATTCAAATTCTCCAAGGGAAATGAGGCTATGTACGCTGTGCAATTTGCAATCACTTGGGGATGAGTTTCTTTACTTGTTTGTATGCCCTACCTTTCGTTCAGAAAGAAAATTGTTCATCGATAAATATTTTATTGAAAGACTAAATATGGGTCAGCTTTTTAACTCCAATAATGTACAAACACGTTTAAACTTAGTAAAATTCTGTCGACAAATAATGCTTCGTTTTCATTAATTTAAGTATGTGCAAAAACATGTTATGAGTTCAATATTAACTTTATGTTTCTCTTTTTTGTCTTATATCAATTTATTAAATTGATATCAAGAATATTTTCAGTAATTCATTAATTCAGATATAAATTTACTGGTGCCAGTAAATCTCTTTTTCAATTGCTTCCATTAATTTCGTCATTAATTATCGTTTTAATTAATATTATCGTTTTGTTTTTGATTATTATTATTATTATCATCATCAATATTGTTATCATTATCATCATAATTTTTCTCACTATTGTCGATAGTGTTATTTTGTATGGATTAATATTAATTCTATTTGTATTGTATTGTATATTTCACAGTGTTTAATTGACAAATTCAAACTGATTGTAACCTTCTCCAATACCCCAATGTGGGTGACATGAGAATAAATTGCCATTGTCATTGTCATTGTCATTTTCATTGATACTGCATGAGAAAAACAAACGCCTACCAAACAAAGCCTCCAAATAATTGGCTTAAGTCTGGTAGAGAGCTGTCTTAAATTTAGGGTAAAATACTTAGCCAAAAGTTTGAATTTAATACCAAAATTGGCTAAGTATTTTATATGAGCCAACTACTTAGTAAAAAGCTTAAGTTGTGTACTGAAGTATTGAATTGAATATGGGCTGCTTAGATAATAGCCCATACGACATGCACAATTTGATGTGGCCACCAATTACAGAGAATTGTGCCTCCGGCACCACCTTAAGTCTTTGAGGTATGAAAAACCAACTAAAAAATTTGAAGTTCCTTCTCATGCTTGAAATGGATCAATAACACACACCGATGGCTACTGATATTGAATAAGTGTCAGAAAATTTGCTTGCTCGCTTTGCTCACTTGCAATTACACCATAATTGTTATCCGTCACCAGATACCATCGTGTATGGCTTGAAAGACACTGTCAATAATTACATCAAATAAGAACCAAGCAAAAATAAGCATTATACTGCATTATGGCAGAGAAGAGATGTATTTGTTTAAATGCTGGAGCATCCCAGAAGTCCACGTTGTACTGCAAAATAGAAAAGCAAGATACTTACAATTTATGTGAGCACCCGGTTTCAGCCAGCTAGACTCCAACACAGGAGTTTTAGAAGAAGTGCATGTGACAATAACATCTGCGCCAGTAACTGCCTCTTGAGCTGTTTCACATGCTTTTACATCAAACTTTTGGGCAAAAGCCTGGCATTTCTCAGAGGATCTTGTCCAAACTCGTACCTGTATCAAAAAGATCAACGTGATATCATTCGGTAAGCAGTTTACAGCGTTGTGTTCTGAAGAATTCTTTATTGATCAAATGATGTCACATGATCTTGCTTAATTCTTCGCATATAAAATTAAAATCATATTACATCTGCATGTGAACGAATGGCAAATAGGAATAATTAAATGAAGCTGAACACAACAAAAGCCCCTATAAAGAGTGATTATTCATTCTAAATGGTTTTTGGATAAGAAATAATTCGCAGCTAGATGGCCAAATTGCAGATTATTTTACAATCATGATATAGATAAAAAAGGATACATAAATATCAATAATCCATTGATATCGGTGAAAATGCATAATCTTTTGACACATGTCATAATCCAGGGCATCGATAAAGGTTATCATATAATTAAGATGTTTGTAGTAGATGATTGTAGATGAATTGTAGTAGACCTACATGCAGGCCTACGTGCATCTTCATCATGATAAATATCAGGATATCAGGCAGAGCAACAGGTTTTGACAAATTCCAGCAAATAAGCACTTTCAGTACTGGTACTTTGTTTATCTTCTGTGCTGTCAATAAAATAAAAAAAACATTAATATGAAGCGCTAATGTAGAGGTTTGTGGTCTTGTGGATAAGTCTCTGGACTATGAACTACAAGGTACGGGTTTGAATCCCTACCGCAGTACTAAAATCCTTAAGAAAGACATTAATCTACATTTGCCTGACTTGACCGACGAGGGGTAAATTGGTACCTGCCTACATGGTAGGATTTAGGCTATTCCTTGAATATTTAAAGCGCTATGGTTTTCTGAGGTAGAGCAAGGGTCTCTAATATGCAAAGTCCTTCGACAGTGCATAGAGATTTTATATAATCAGGTGATTTGCACTATACAAGAATGGCATATGATAAATATTATTATAGCAGTACTTTTGATGGCTTAATGCATCATCTATGTGGATGAGACCTGATACAGACCTCCCTAATTGTCGTCATATGCTTCAAGGCATGAAGGTGAGACACGGCCTGGGACCCTGCTCCAAGAATTGCTAACGTCTGCCAGCCATCCTTCGCCAGGTACTGGATGGAAAATGGAATTTATATTACACGTTCAATTTATTGATGATATTATCAACTTAATGTCGATTAAGTTGATGATTGTCATAACAAAATTACAATAAGAACAATATAAATATTAATCATCATTATAATAACTATTATAACAATAGTAAAAAGAAGAAGAAGAAGAATGAGGAGAAGAAAGAGAAGTAGAAGAATGATACTACTACTACTATTACTTATAACAATAATAATATCATAGATTTATGGCACTAAACAAAAATAATCATAGACATTTAAATAAAAAATGACAACATTACACAAAATAAAAACAACTAGGACACAATAGACTAAAGAGAAAAGACACAAATAATTTATTTTAAACCTCCGGAAAATATTTTGTTTTAATCTAATAAGATATAATAACATTTCCGTGTTGTGTATATTTTTTTGGGGGGTGGGGTAGGCAGATAGATAATTTCACTGAACTCACAGGCACATAATGGAAAGTGCTAAAAAGATAATTTATTGCCTGGAGGATGAAACCATAACACATTTTCAAAAATGATTGAATGACAACTAAACCCTTCGGATATAGGGATGAACACATTGCGAATACCATATTGAGTGAAAGATATCGGTGTCTTCAACATGGTTAATTGATTCCTGCTGAGTTTAATATCAGATATAATGTCTTACCTTTGTAGCTACGGCTGATGCTGCGGCGGTTCTCATAGCAGTAATGTGCTCTGCATCCATTACCTAGTAAATGAACAGGAAGGCATGTAGCTTAGCAAAAAGACCCGCCCAGAACACGTAATGCATAATGATGGACAATTATTACTTTCATAAGGAATAGAGGTAGAACCACGTTTCCAGGACTTGGAGCTGTTAAACAACTCTGTGACCTTGATTATGACAGATAACACCAAAAATGATAATGTTTTGTAAAATGTATTGAGACTTGCTAATTTTGCATGAAATATGAATAAAAAGAACCAACCAATTAAAATGTGATTTAGATATGTCCAGAAAGGACTTTTAATTCCTGAATCGCACCAACAATTATGGACGCATCTTTTGTGCCAATTCATTTCACTCAGCTACCTAATAGGATTATGCCATTCAGTTTACAATTCCTGGTCCTAACTGTAAGGGCTGAGATTAGGACTACATGTAGGGTTAGGTTTACCGTAATTCTAGCCCCCTTAACCAATTATGGCACATACAATACTGAAGTAATTATATCAGGGTAGGTCCAATGTTACATATAGCCAATGGACCGATAGTGCATACAGGGGAGGAGCAACAGAAATCCAGATGACCAGCTGCATATGGAACCGATGGTTCATAGGACAAATGGTGACTGTTACCAGTGGTACATTGAGCCAATTAATGGTGCATATGCCCAATGGTGCATGGGACAAATACTGGGTAGCCATACGAATGGAGGGTCTATCGTAGGGGTGTGTATCAGTAGTTTCTTATTAAATACATACATGTATAAGAAGACATTAGGCAAGGTCTTTAGAACTCATTGTTGTTATGATTTATCAGTAGAACTGACAACAGGCATTACAAACATATGGCTGAAGAAAGAGAGAAACACAGAAAACAATTTATCACAATATTCCCCCCTTTTCTTTTCCATGCTCGAAAGGAATAGGCCATGTTCATAGCTAGTTGAGGGATATAGTTATGTCACAGGAGGTTTTTCCCGATTGGTCAGTCACTTCACAGAACTCCAAACAGTTCCCTCCCATGGAAATTAAAAATGGGAAGAAACTGTTTGGATCTCCATAATATGACCTATGACCCTGCATAATTATGTATGTATGTGCTATGTAAAATTCGCTCTCTCGTAATGCACTCTGGACATGTTTCATGTCGAGGAGCAAGGAATCATTATCAAAGTCGTAACTTACGGCTTTGGATTCTCCGGTCCGGGCATCATGCAGAATGATCATTCCGACATGTAAGGGGAGGTTGTGCTCAGGATTGTCTACGTAACGATTGATAATCTTTGTTACAATGACATTACCAACAGGACTGAAACCAGACATGACCGACACAACCCTGAAGAAACAAAAAAAAAGCAAAGCAAAGACTGAAAACAAAAAAATAAGTAAAGGTTGTTGAAATTTGCACATGCAAAATAAATAAATATGTGAAGCATTCGATCTCACCCTTAAAAGACTGGTTTTGAATTCTGTGGCACGTTAAGAAAACAACTTTACAGTAATAGACTGCGGTGAAGATAAAAAACACTACATCAATTTTCATGAAAACTGTTCAATTTTGGTCAAAAATGGAACAATTCGATGTCAATTTCTTCCATCGTCTTTTTGTTATATATCTTATTTTTAAATTCTAATCTCTCTTCATTTTATCGATCAGTGCCGCACTGCATGACGCGACGATTTAAAGTCTACCTATATTCTGATATTTGCGTACAGATACTGAACATTTTAACTGTGAACTTACGTACAGTTAAAAACTTCAAATTGGTTAATAGAAACGTGATTTCAATTAAGCCATTGAATTCCCAGTCACTTAGAAGCACGTCGGTAGCTTAGTCGGCCATGATGTGAAATAAAGGTTTTAGCCAACTCGCACTTTACTGGCACGTGACACATGACGTCATTATGTAAACAACACTGTCTAAAAGCTCTTGTATAGTAAATATAGCAGTCATTAAATTTTAAACAGCGAATGTTTAACAAAATTCCTTTCGTTTCGAGCAACATTGTTTGCAATTTGTTCAACTGTTGTTTAAAATAGTGTACAACTGTAAGTGAACATCACTTTTTTAAGCAGCGTTTTTACTGTGTACTATGCAATATAAAGCATCTCTTTTTATTTCTATCCCTTTTTCCCGTTACAATTCTTTAGGGGTTCTAGGACAATTACCCCTTGGGCAATCACCCCCACCCCCGGAAAATTGCCCACGGAAAACTACCCCCAAAGAAAAATTATCCCCTGGAATTTTACCCCCGGAGAATCACCTCCTGAGGACAACTACCCCCCAAGGACTATTACCCCCGACGACAATTACCCCCCCCCCCCCGAGGACAACTACCCCCGAGGACAATTACCCCCTAGGACAATTACCCCCCGAGGACAATTACCCCCTAGGACATTTACCCCCCGAGGACAATTACCCCCCGAGGACAATCACCCCCGGAGGACAACTACCCCCCCCCCCCCGAGGACAATTACCCCCCGAGGACATTTACCCCCCATCGACACTAGATGTCCGGGGGGTTATTTTCCGGGGGGTAATTGTCCTTGGGGGGTTATTGTCCTCGGGAAGTAATTCTCCGGGGGGTAATTTTCCGGGGGGGGGGAATCGTCCTACAGGGGTAATTTTCCGGGGGTGATTGCTCATCGCCTCAGCGATAAAGTTGAACCGATCGGGTCTACGTCCTGAGTTGACCCGTAATTTTGAGGGGTGCTGAAAATTAGGTATTAATTTGCCTGTGTGCAATAATGAAAGGGTAAATACTTTGTATTTCTTTATATTTTTATTCTACATACATACAGTTTTTCCATTTTTATCAAGTTGTTTTTTCATCGGATTTGGTCTTTACGGATTTAAAATTTAACTCTATTACATTTCAAAAATCGTTTACTCCATGCGTCTTACCCATTATGCTCTTCAATGTCCATTCTGGTTTTCTGTGGATATATTCCTCCTCCCCCTCCTTCTTCGTTCCTTTTAGAAAAATTCCCAAGACCTTGTTCCACGGCGGGTATGAGCTCATTGTACGTCAGGTTTTCGACGACTTCGGCGGGGCTGATCAAACATGGTTGGGATGATGCATGGGCCATCTTGTACGTAACCTGGAATTCAGAATGTAAGATAAACGAATATTTGATGCATATGAATTATTTATGTGTAGAGGGGGAATTGAAAGAAGAAAAAAGTTCAATGTGATTTAAAATCTTTTATTGGTTTTTGTGTACCATAAATTATAAGTAAATAATTATCGTATAATTTCCTTACTCTGATGTAACTGTTTAAAGAAGCCTGTGACATTAAGTGGTTAATTGTGATTCATGAGCATTGTCGCTTGGATTGTACATGTACTTGTATCCACTTCCCCCATATATTTTTTTGTTTTAGTCATGTGTTTTATTTTTGATTTTTGCTCATTATGTCTATTGTTTTATTTCTCATTTATTCTTTTGTTCTGGAATCAAGTTACTTTGAGAAACATATCAAAGCAATTTGATATCAATTCATATCTCCCACTTATTTATTTATTTATCTTTATTCAGCTACAAAATCACGGATAACATCATAGATATATATTTATAACAAGCATCTCGTGTTCAGATGAGATCAAATTATTTATCTGTATTGACTTGAAAGCAGATTCTAGATGCATTTCCTGCAAATCATCAATTATCTTTATCCACTTAGTAGTATTTACATTTGTTGTTTTAGTTTTATTTTCATCAACTTCTAGTCTGTATTTTGACATAAACAAAACATATTTGCTTATTATTTTTGTTGCTACATTTTTATTAAATTTATTTACAATAATCACTTTATAAATTGCAAATAAAGCATAATGAAGCAGTCAATTAATATATGTTGCATTTCCGTTTGCGTCATGAAAACCATAAACAACACAAATGGGTGAGAATTTAAAATTTCTACAGAAGGAGATACATAGAAATCATTTAATAAAGTTCCAAAATGGATAAATCTGTTCGCATTAAATAAATACATATATTAAATTGTCTATATCGATTCTGATGTGCGATTGGTCGAAATGCTGTCACATGACCATCGTAACAAGGATGAGAAGCGTTATACTTTCCAACATGACTTAAATTACGTCATACCTCTGAATATAACGCTGTTATATCCCGAGGTATGACGTAATTTACGTAATACCTCAAGCTCACACTACAAGTTCAATGCACTGTATACACACGTACACAGCAGCTTCGCACATATCTACACGCATTAAAGGGAACCAAAACCTTCATACTAAGTTACTTTTATTGTATAGTTTAAAATATTTGAATAAAATCAGCAAAAATTTGAACAAAATCGGGCAAGGAATAAGGAAGTTAGAGCTTTTTGAAATTACTAGTCACTAGAGGGCGATATTTAATTTGACATCATCTGTGGACAACTCTCCATGCCTTTTGTACATCAAATTTCATGTTTTTCCTTCTTTCTTGTGATTGAGATAATCTACTTCCCTGAAAGCAAGGTATGGAATGCAAAATGGTATTCTACTTCACATGTTATGAAGTCGGATCAAGAACACAAATAAATCTGAAGAAAACAAAAGAATTGTGAAATTTTATGCAGCGCAAAATATGAAAGTGCAACAAAGAAAAATTCGCTTCGCTTGGTGAGTAAGAATTGACCTTAATAATTGAAGAAAAAGATTCTCTTTCTACTGAAAAAGTCATCAATGTAGATGATAATGTGCTGAAAGCTTACATTACAGTGAACACAAAGGATTTACAATTTTAGAAACAATTATAGCAACTGAACTGAGTAAGTTTCAGTCTTCGAATTTATGCAGAGGTTTGTAGATCGAATGGTCAATTATAAAGTAAGCGGTCCACTCCGTGATAACAATGCGATATGGATTGCAGAGACATTTCAGAAAAGTGAGTGATTTCAGTCTTGATATTGTAAATGACCCACAGTTCAAAGAACTTGTTTCACGCCGTTCTCATAAAAATAAAGAAGGAAGGAAAAGGGTATGTTGATCACAAAGATCCCGTTACAAAGGATGATTTTTTGAAAATCAAGTCATCAACAGCAACGGATGTAAATACTCCCCGCGGGCTTCAGAACAAAGTATTCATAGACATTATGATGCATTTTTGCAATCGTGGGAAAGAAAACTTACGCAGTTTTTCCAAAACAGATTTTGTAGTCGTGACTGATTAAAAAAATAAGAGATATATGTACCTTGTCAGTGACAAACTGAAAAAAAAATCATCGAGGAGAATCTCTCGATGACTTGCGCAGTCAACAAGGAAGGATTTACGAAAATCATAATTTACGTTGAATCATTTCTTAAGCACTTTTCTCATCTTAATCCAACATGCAGTGACTTTTTTTAGCGTTAAAAGACGAGCCTGGAAAGCAATGAGCAAGTGTGGTACTGCAATTCTCTCGCCGGCAAGAACACTTTGGGTTAAAAAAATGAAGAAAATATCTCTTGAAGCACATGACATCAAAAGTCTACACAAAGCATTGCCTACGCGCAACATCTATTCATGTCCTAGACGCAAGTGGATTCGTTCTGAAGTCGTGTCTAACTTAGCCACGTCTAAAGTTAAACAACTGTTTAGTTAGACACGACTTAGACAGGACTTAGACGCGAGGTCGTGTCTAAGTCCTGTTTAACTAAATTTCGTATTCTGAAGTCGTGTCTAAGTCTCGTCTAACTAAACAACTGTTTAAGTCCTGTCTAAGTGGTGTTTAACTAAACAACTGTTTAAGTTCTGCGCAAGTCGTGTTTAACTCTTAGTCACGACTTCTGGGCATGCCCAGTAGGTGTTAATTCTGACGAAAGACCCAATGCGCATGCGTGCGCGCACCGGATAAATAAATTAACGCGCACAGCTAGCTGTGCGCGTGCTGGTACCATGGTGATGTGATCGTGACGTAATGACTAGACTGCATGTACTTTGTGTACGTACATACGTAGTACACGTACTGTACACTGAGATTGACAAACACACTACTTATCGGTGCCTCAGTACTCGGAAGAACCACAAAAGAAACTTCTCCAACAGAATGGTTAGTTTATTATAGATTATGGAATTTCCAAGATGTCACCAGTAGATAAGAATAGTTGATATTATCGAGAAAAAAAATTAGGCTACACGAGAAAAAATCCTGCAAAACGTATTTGAAATTTTGGAGAATGCACGTACCATCGTTCTCCCCCGCAAGTTCGGGGTCAGCAAGTACAGTGTACCGTCGACGTTGAAAAGCAGCAGAATCGCGCCCTTAAACAGGACTTAAACAACCCCTCGCAGTTGTCTAAAGTTAAACAGGACTTAGACAGGACTTCGTGTTTAACTTTATTTAAACACGACTTCAGAATACCAAAAAAGTTAGACCCGACTTCGTGTCTAAAGTTAGACGGGACTTAGACAAGACTTAGACAACTGTTTAGTTAAACAGGAGTTAGACACGACTTCAGAATACGGGCCATATGATGTTCTTATCCGGACACAAGTCCGAAAGTAGCATCAAGCACTAGACCTACTCCTATGTCGATGAAGCTAAAAAAAGACGCATGAGCAGATGCCTTTCATCAATGAGTGATGAAATAGCTGGCCCATCTACAGCACCATCCACTTCTGCTAGCATTCATCCGACTAGTAATAGTATTACTACTAGTCCAGGACCAGGACCAAGTACTAGTACTAGCACTGCAGCTCTCGTGTCGGTACAACACACAGAAGAAACTGCATCGTCACAAAGCTCATAATCTCAGTCATCACCACAAATAAATGTTGTTTCTAACAAGCTAGCCTTATTATTTTTATAATTGTAATGTCAACTTTTAAAATTAATCTGATTTTGACTACTTGTACATAGTCTAGTCCCTAGAACTTAGATACTAGACAGACATATTAGGAATAACTGGATTTTCCAGTATTTTCGTGTTACAATCAAACTTTTACTGCGGAGTTGGAATTTCCGTGTTTAGTTGAGCTTGTTTCTGTTTAGAAATACTGTACAGTTGGATTTCATCACAAATTTGCGGATTTCTTAACATCTGACACTGCCAATGGAATCAAGAAGGCATTCTAAGATTAGACCTGTCTACAGCACCATAATTATGGTAATGATTTCACAACAAATTTGCGGATTTCTTAACATTTGACACTGCCACTTGAATCAAGAAAGCATTCTACAATCAGGCCTAGACTAGATCTATAATAAAACTAAAAATGGTGAGTCGGCACAATAATATTCTGATATTACTTTTATTTTTTCTATTTATCTTATTTTGTATCTGATATAGGGCATCATAATATAACAAATATTGACTTTTTCTTTCGGGAACAATATGATATTTTAATTTCCCTTGGGGTGTTATATTTTTGTCTCGGAATACTATATTTTTCCTCAGCGCTACGCGCTTCGGAAAAATATAATGTCTCTCGACACAAATATAACTCCCCTCAAGGATCTCAAATGTTATATTGCCCCTCTAGGCAGTCAATATCTCTATAGTATTATGGTACCAGGTTTGTTACAATACTAACACAAATCTTTTTCTTTGATTCTCCATTTGAATCAATTAAGAGGTGTTGGTAAAATATTATACATATAATTAAAGTTGAATTGTATCAAGTAATTAACACGAACATATTTCAATGTAGGTAACCACAGAGAATCCCATATCATAGGAAAAAAATTATGTAACATTTAGTTCCCAAAATATACTGGCCTGGATGGTTTTTTAATCAATTTTACGACTTCCGTATGAAAAAAATTCACAGTACTATACAGTGTATTGATATTCTAAAACTATTCAAATTCAGTCAAATAAGAATATGTCATTGATATACGTTTGTAATCTTTAAAATCATCAACTTTTTGTTCTCCATATTTTATCATTTGCCTCCATCTATGCTGTATTACGGTTCGTATTTTGACATATTCACTTTACCATAGTACCATCTACATGTACCATCATACTAAATTAGTTTATCTTTCAATTCTTTGACTATCAAAAATCTATTTCCTTTCACTGTATATCCCCTAAAAAAATATATGACTTTATCAAATTTGTATACCCAATTGTTTTTCTTTAAATTTGATATCACGATTTAACCAAATCATTTCTTTCGTGACACTTTCATAGGTGGATTGTATATTTTGTACATAATATACTTGCTTTACTGTAAACCACGTATAAAGTAAATCACAATAGAAATCAGGTATTTTTCCTCTATGAGAAGTCACATATTTTGGTAAACATTTACAATTCAAAATGATATAATCCTTCCCATTTGTTCATTCCAATACTTGTCAATTTCCCCTTTTTCATGGAGTTCTTTAAAACTCAGGAAGCTAAACAACTTTTTTTAATTCTTAACGACATACATTGTGTACAAATGTCAACCATATTCATGCCTCCATTTTGAAGAGTATTTACTATGTTTTCCTTTATTCACTTTCGCTCTATTACCCCATTAAAAAATCATAAAATAACATTTCGTACGCTTTTAACCATTCTTACAGGGCACGATAAAATTTGAGCTGTATGAATCAATTTCGAAATCACAAGACCTTTTCAAATAAGTGCTTTCCCATTTAATGTCAAATTTCTCCGTTTCCTAGAACTTAAAAGCTATTGTATTTTAATGAATCTTTCTTGCGACCAATTCATATTCATACTCAAAGATTTATTCTTACTAAAGTATATACCCAGAGATTTAAAAAAAGTATCACACCAACTTATATTCTTTATTGTCTCTGAGGGAGAAGTTTTACCCAACCATATGGCTTTAGTTTTATTCTTATTTTAATGTATTCCTGGTACCCTTTCAAAGTTTTCAATCACATTCATTACCTTCCTTCTAGATTTAACGTCTTTTACAACAAACTTCATATCGTCAGCCAGTTGAGTTACTTTAATTTCTGTATTGTGTTTTCCGATAGTATTATTCTATTATATTACTTAAAACTTCGTTCATCTCTACCTTTAACAATAAAGCAATAACGCATTTCCTTTGTAAATAACTGATATGTCCTTTCTCAAAAAGCCTCATTCAAATTATGAAGAACTAGGTCAGTTATTTCTGACCAAAATTCTTTTAAGAATTCTACGCTTAAACGGTCGAACCCTGGAGCTTTATTAGGTTTCATTTCATACTTGTTATCGCTTCAGTAATCTCTTTCACTAGGGACGTTTAGATATGCACGTCGACATAGTGGACTGCTATGTGTGACGTCCTTTTAAAGCACTCTGACTTCCTTTTAAGTTACTGCCAGTGCTTTAAAAGAACGTCACACGTAGCAGTCCACTATGTCGACGTGCACATTTAAAAGTCCATATTGTAACGAGCCCTTCGCACCCAGAAGAGTAAAAATCCACCGGTCAGAGAGTTCAAAGAAGAAACACAATTTTGCTACCAGGTCCTTCCGGCTGGTAGGAAGTTTCAACCAATCAGGTGCAAGTTGCAAAGTGATTGACCAAGCACAAGCCAATAACATTTAAAAAATACTCTTACAAATATTAGTAATCCAAAATCTAGACCATTACGTCTATGGGGGGGAATTATTATAAATATAGCTAGATGGTCAATTCCAATTCAGAAGCTGTTGCAATTCGAAAAATAAACTATTTGTTTGAGTAATACACGAAGTATTACGAGTTGTTCGTTATAATACTAAATTCATACATTTTATACCGGTCATGGTGGCTCAGTGGTTACAGCGTCCGCCTCATGAACGGAAGGTCGTGGGTTCGAACCCCGGCCGAGTCATACCAAAGACTTATAACTAGGCTATAATAGCAATGGGACCTTCTGCCTTCTAGCTAGGCGCTAGGCATATTAGATTGGAGAAGGATAGTAATAGTAATAACATGTTTATGCAGGGCCCGCTGGAAGAGCAGTTTCATAACTGAAGTGGCTACTCTGGGTAAATGAAACGTTATTATTATTATTATTATTATTATTATTCAGCTATCGGTGAATACATCGTAGGTTTTGTAAAGGACAACTTGATAGTCCTGGGGAGTGTTTCACAAAGACTAAGTTATGCATTATGATTGAGTTATGATACATGTAGACAGGTCTGCATGTAGAAAGTATTTTGATGTGCTCAAAATATGTTGGGTAGAATATTATCGCTTTAATTAATGAAGTGTGTACTGTGTGGTTGTGGTAATATCACATAGGTGATTCCGAAAGTGGTACTTGTGAAAGTATTAAACTGATTGTTTTTTTTGGAGAAAAAAAACGTTATTAATTATGAATACTATAGGTACACCATGCATTAAGAAATATTGTCATGAATATAAAGTAAATATACTGTAAGCAGCTGGTTAAATGTTTTGCAGATGCTGACCTAAAATGTTTATTGGTATATTCCCATTCTTACTTGGCTCAGTTTTGACTTTAGCTGGAGACTTAACAATAGAGAGAAAGAAGTTAAAGGTAATACAAAGTTTTGGGAAATTTCGAAAATTGGGTGGATAGTGATTCTTTACAATTTTGATATATTTGGATGCCCATGTGGATGTATTATAAGCACTAGAAAACTTAGGCCCTAAAACACTTCTACTTTTGAGAAAAATGGAATATAAAAATTGACCGGTGCTCCCGGTAAATGTTGATAAATTTCAAATAGCGCCTACGACCGTACAATGGTAGCTGCATCCATGAAAATCTCAGAATATTTAGTTGTGATATATAATTTCCAAACGGGGATAGCTAATCGGTCGATTTTAGTCAAGAAACATTGTTTTATAGCTTAATTAACATCATGACCTTGGGAGGGAGCTATACAACATAAAGAGTGTATTACATACAATTTCATAACTTTAGACTCGATTTCAACCGCAACAACGATCACTGAATAATGTAGGATCGCATATGCTTCCAATATGTTCATTTGAACCAAATTCATGACCCAATACCAACACTCTGTATTACCTTTAAAGAATGCCGACCATTCAAAATTCAATTCACGTATAAGCTGCTATTTTAACCTTTGCGATGTAAATTCTCACAGAAAGCTGACCACGTAGACACTCTTTCGAAAATGTAAACGTTGACCGAAGAAGAATAATCCATCAATATCTAACCGTAATTCGTGCAATCAAAATGGCGTCTGGTTGTCTACCGTCGAACTTCAAACTAATGTACCTTTTGCCTTTGGTAGGCTTATACATAGTGATTCTTTACAATTTTTATATATTTGGATGCCCATGTGGATGTATTATAAGCACTAGAAAACTTAGGCCCTAAAACACTTCTACTTTTGAGAAAAATGGAATATAAAAATTTGCCGGTGCTCCCGGTAAATGTTGATAAATTTCAAATAGCGCCTACGACCGTACAATGGTAGCTGCATCCATGAAAATCTCAGAATATTTAGTTGTGATATATAATTTCCAAACGGGGATAGCTAATCGGTCGATTTTAGTCAAGAAACATTGTTTTCTAGCTTAATTAACATCATGACCTTGAGAGGGAGCTATACAACATAAAGAGTGTATTACATACAATTTCATAACTTTAGACTCGATTTCAACCGCAACAACGATCACTGAATAATGTAGGATCGCATATGCTTCCAATATGTTCATTTGAACCAAATTCATGACCCAATACCAAAACTCTGTATTACCTTTAAAGAATGCCGACCATTCAAAATTCAATTCACGTATATAAGCTGCTATTCTGACCTTTGCGATGTAAATTCTCACAGAAAGCTGACCACGTAGACACTCTTTCGAAAATGTAAACGTTGACCGAAGAAGAACAATCCATCAATATCTAACCGTAATTCGTGCAATCAAAATGGCGTCTGGTTGTCTACCGTCGAACTTCAAACTAATGTACTTTTTGCCTTTGGTAGGCTTATACGTTTACAAATTCAATAGCATCTGACATGCATGCATGCACACATTGCAGTAGAGCAGTATAGCCAGTAGACAAGATTCTTGTCGAATTTATCGCTTTTATCCCTCTCTACCGTCGAACTTCATACTACTGTGCCCTTTGCCTTTTGCCCATTGCGTTTTTACAAAAAAATATAACAAGAATAATAGGCACTTTATGGCCCGAATTCACGAAGCAAGGTTTGAGCTCAGACCAAGGTTTGAGCTCAAACCTCCTTTTGTTTCGCCAAACCTCCTTTTGTTATTTATAAACCAGGTTTGTAAATAACAAAAGGAGGTTTGGCGAAACAAAAGGAGGTTTGAGGTCAAACCTTGGTCTGAGCTCAAACCTTGCTTTGTGAATTCGGGCCTATGCGTTTGGTAAAGTATGCATATACAAATTCAATAGCATCTGACATGCATGCATGCACACATTGCAGAAGAGCAGTATAGCCAGTAGACAAGATTCTTGTCGAATTTATCGCTTTAATCCCTGCCTAGCGGCCGGACACAGATGACCCGACACAGCAACATATATACATGCGTATCTTTCCCGCTCCATCGACGAGATCACTTCACCCAACAACCCCCCCCCCCCCCTCCTCCTCTCTCTCTCTCTCTCTTACTCCCACCCTTTTTCTCGCATGCTCTTACCCCTCTCTCTCCTCTTTTTCGTCCCCTGTTTCATTTGTTTCATTTTCTTTCTTTTTGTGTTTTCTTTGTTTTCTTTGTTTTCTTTTCTTTTCCTTTTTTTCTTCCTCTCCTTTCTTTTTTTTTCTTCTCTTTCTTTCTTCTCTTCTCCTTTCTTTCTTTTCCTTTCCTTTGTTTTCTTCTTTTTCTTTCCCTCTCTTTTTTCCCTCCCCCTTTTCTCATTTTCCCGACGGCAGCGCAATTTTACTGACAATATCCTGATAAGTTGGGTGGCTCTTATCCCCCCCCCCACCCCCCCCCCCACTCCCCTCTAGCGACGCCCCTGAGTATAGCAAGCAAAAAGAGAAGACAAAATTGACACGATTGATAGGCACCAGTGCACTTCATAAATACCAGTCTGCCTGTCATAATGCTGTGCGTTCTGTAGTTCTATCCCGTATTGATTATTGTAATGGGCTTCTCTCTCCCATTCCCTCGACTAAATTGGATCGTGTGCAACGGCTACAAAATTAGGCAGCCCGATTGCTTTTTCAGATTTCTAGGGTCAATCCATCTCAGCCCGACACTCTTGAGATCATTCACTGGCTTCTAGCTTTGAAACAAAGAATAATTGTTAAATTACTCTTGTTTGTCTTCAAAATACTCAATAATCAAGCTCAACAATATTTAGGTACCTGTTTTAATTTTATACACCTGCCAGGGCGTATCAGGACAATTACCCCCTGGGCAATCACCCCCCGGAAAATTACCCCCGGAAAACTACCCCCGTAGGACGATTACCCCCCGGAAAATTACCCCCCGGAGAATTACCCCCCGAGGACAATTACCCCCCAAGGACAATTACCCCCCGGAAAATTACCCCCCGGAGAATTACCCCCCCGAGGACAACTACCCCCCGGGGACAATTACCCCCCGAGGACAACTACCCCCCGAGGACAACTACCCCCCGGGGACAATTACCCCCCGAGGACAACTACCCCCCGAGGACAACTACCCCCCGAGGACAACTACCCCCGAGGACAATTACCCCCCGAGGACAACTACCCCCGAGGACAATTACCCCCATGGACACTACTGGGCCTGGTGGCTCAGAGGTTAGAGCGCCCGTCTCATGTACGGAAGGTCGTGGGTTCGAACCCCGGCCGAGTCATACCAAAGACTTATAACAATGGGACCTTTTGCCTTCTAGCTAGGCGCTCAGCATATTAGATTGGAGAAGGGTAGTAATAATTATGTTATGTTATGCAGGGCCCGCTGGAAGAGCAGTTTCATAACTGAAGTGGCTACCCTGGGTAAATAAAACGTTATTATAATTATTATTATTGTTATTACCCTCGAGGATAACAACCCCCGAGGACAAGTATAATATGTTTTCGTGTACGTTAAATTGCCTTCAAGTTATATGTACAGTGCCCTGTCAAAAGAAAATAAATATCCGCTCTCTGGTAATTCATCTCATTTGAATTTGTTACTCTAGCGCAGCGTTTTTCAACCGGGGTGCCGCAAGAGAATGATTTGTAAAACGTTGATTTTGTAAAAAAAATCAAATACCAGAAACGGTTAAAATATGTAATTACAAGAGAAAATAAAATTTGGAAGATACTAAAGTGTCTTCCTTCCTCGCTCGCTGACAATTTGTTGACAGCAAGGCAAATGAGGACAACTAGAGGCCCGAATATCCTCATATTAGTGTATCAAGGTCATGACCGAATATATCACTTTTTGTATGTACATTCGGCGGCAGTGGCGTAATGAGCAAAAACGTTTGGGGGGGGGCTGACCAAAAAAATCCGCAGCACCCCACTCTAACATGCAGGCCCCGCTGAACGTTTCGCAAAGTGGGGTCTAGGGGCAAAGCCCCGGCGGGGGTCAAGGGGCGGAGCCCCCGAAGCTCAAGGGGTATGGGCATCAGTGGCGGATCCAGGAATTTCTTACCGGGGGGGGGGACCAAATGGCATGGGGTTAAATATTATGTAAAACGATGAAGCGACAGAACGAGGCTTTAGCGGCGAGGGAGCGGAGCGACCAAGCGGGGGTTGGTTTGGGAGTGGGTTCTGGCCCCCTCCCAGAGTAAGAAGCATTTGAAATTTTAGAACCAAATTAGATGCATTTTTAGGCACTTCCTGGAGTAATATGACGTAAAATTGCTTTCTCCTACCCCTTCCAAGAGTAGGGATCTTTAGCAATTTGAGAACCACATTTGGCGCATTAATGTCCACCGGCACTTCCTGGAAAAAACGAGGCCTTCTTATTGGTTAGAAGTTAGAGAAAAGTGATCTGTCACGTCTTGAGACGTTGTATATGCTTTGATGCCGCACAATGCACAAAGACGGTGGTCCGGTACTTCATCAGTAGTACTTGCAAAAAAATTCTCGAGTGTATAAACTGTGTCGTTATCAGGGGCGTCGCTAGATCTTTGTCAGTGGGGGAGTGGGGAGGGTGTAGAGGCCACCGATTACAGACAAAAGGAGCAACCAATTACCGACAAATATATTGATGCCAATGTCCAAATGTCTACAAATTTAACCCTCTAAACCTGGGGCCAGGAACTAAGTTATTTTTCAGTCTCCCCCCTCCCGCGCGATGCGCGGAAACTTTGACACTTCATTCAATTATTAGAGAAAGAAGACGATCCATTGTACCGTTCTCGACTCTTATTTCTTGTTTGGATCCAGTCCCCCCCCCCCCCTCCCGCGCGAAGCAGTTTTGACGTTTCAATAAATTATTACTCTTAATCCTTGTCTGAATTCATTCTCCCCCATCCCGCGCGAGACGCGGAAGCTTTCACGTTTCATTAAATTATTAGAGAAAGAAGACGATTCATTGTACCAGTTCCGACTCTTAATCCTTGTCTGAATTCATTTTCGCCCATCTCGCGTGAAGCGCGGAAACTCTGACGTTTCATTAAATTATTACTCTTAATCCTTGTCGGAATTCATTTTCGCCCATCCCGCGCGAAGCGCGGAAGCTTTCACGTTTCATTAAATTATTAGAGAAAGAAGACGATTCGTTGTATCGTGTTCTTGTCTGAATTCAGTTCCCCCCCCCCCCCTCCCGCGCGAAGCACGGAAGCTTTGACACTTCATTAACTTATTAGAGAAAGAAGACGATTCATTGTACCGGTTCCGACTCTTAATCCTTGTCTCAATTCATTTTCGCCCATCTCGCGCAAAGCGCGGGAGCTTTGACACTTCATTAAATTATTAAAGAAGGAAAACGATTCGTTGTACCTTTTACTACTCTTAATCTTGTCTGAATTCAATTTTCCCACTGGGCCCCCTTAACTGTACATATGTGCAGTGTTACATGATGTAAGTATGGAACGCCCGGCAGTGCTTGTCACAGTTGCTTCTGGAAAGGATTTTTTTACTAGTGTTACTGTTAGTGGCCACGGCCCCTTAGTGACTATAAAAAAAAACATATGCTCTTCCTGGCCATTTGGGAATGTGTCAGTTTGCAACAGAAATGGAGAAACGCACATTTTGTTGAAAATCATGTGATATCACGAACATTTATACATCACTTGTATATGGAATTGAAAATAAGTCATGGTTCTATTTTATTTGGAGGGGGGAGGGGGCTGGCGCCCCCAAGCCCCCCCCCCCCCACCAGTACGCCAGTGCGGTAAGGTGCCCGCATGCAGTACTTTAAATAGTTTCTAGTGTGTGGATTACAAACTATTTTTTTACCAGTTTTATTCCTAAATGTGCCCATACGTGTGTGCATAGTACTTGACGAGAGCCAGAGTCATGCAAAATTAATAGTCTGTAAAGACTTTGGGATTTGGGAGAAACTTTTCATTTCTTAAGAGGGTACCGTGACTAACAAAAAGCTAAAATAACGCTGCTCCAGAGAAATGTAATTCTATGCATTTAGAAAAGTGCTGGACAATTACCTAAAACTTACATCCTTCGTGGAAATTAGCAACCGCGCTGGCGTTGCATAAATTATAATAAAAGGGAAATGTGTAGTAATGAGAAAGACAACGTGCTAGAGTATTTGAATGTGTCAGATCGTCTTTTGCTATTGAATCCTGATTGTCCACGGGAGTAGTTGTCATCGGGGGGTAATTGTCCTCGGGGGGTAATTATCATCGGGGGGTAGTTAACCTCGGGGGGTAATTGTCCACGGGGGTAATTGTCCACGGGGGTAATTGTCCTCGGGTGGTAGTTGTCCTCGGGGGGTAATTGTCCACGGGGGTAATTGTCCACGGGGGTAATTGTCCTCGGGTGGTAGTTGTCCTCGGGGGGTAATTGTCCTCGGGGGGTAATTGTCCTAGGGGGTAATTGTCCTCGGGGGGGTAGTTGTCCTCGGGGGGTAATTGTCCTCGGGGGGTAATTCTCCGGGGGGTAATTTTCCGGGGGGTAATTGTCCTTGGGGGGTAGTTGTCCTCGGGGGGTGATCTCTCCGGGGGGTAATATTCCAG